AATTGTATTAATTGTTTCTCCTGGGAAACTGCTTCAGGCCAGTTTTGCTGATCCTTTTATGGACATGGGCTACTTTACTGTAATCTGAATTTGGACCAAGTTACCTGCCTCTGAGTAGTAACATTAATAATGCAACCTCATTATCACTGACTCATTGGTCCCACATGCAATCCATTTAATGCCCCCCGCCCGAAGTATGTCTGATAGACTCTTGGGGATGTCTGATTTATATTCAGTAAATCAATTAATTCTGTTGCCAGTGCCCCCTCTGGGGCAGGAAGAAACTTTCCTCTACCCTTCTAAGTTCTTCCCACTAAGCTAATAATTAAATCTACATGAGGCATATTTAACAAGAGAAAACAACCAAATTTAATTAAGTTTATATGTGTGAAAACCCTACATATCTGAGAGAGTCAGAGGCCCCACATACTTAAGAGGTTCAGAAGCAGAAATGAAAAAAGAGGTAGACATGACATTGGGGCTTCAGAGGGGAGGGAGGTCATTCACAGGATGATAAGAAGAGCAGATATTCAATAATTAGAAGCTGTCCTTGGCATATAGGTAGAACATAAGAAAAGTTATCTCTTGTTATGGGAAAATACTTTAAGGGAGAGATAAGAATTTCATTTGAGCCTGCACAGTCTGAACTGCCTTTAACTCAAAATAATCCACATGCCAAAACCTTGGAGGCCTTCTCTGAATCCTTTCAGCCTATGGGTACCATAGATCTTCCATGAATGCTACCTCTGCTCTGCTGGACACCCCACCTGCTACTGGCACTGAGGACTGCTCCACTGAGCACTGGGGTCTCTTTCACTATCTTGGCACAGTTTGTGTATCACAACCCTGAACTGCTAGAGCCTTCTTTGTGCCACAGTTTGTGTCTCTGAATAAAATGGAGAGTCTCTCCCCTTTGCATTATATTCTTTTGTTGGGGGGAGAGTTGTTGAAAATTGTGCTTTTGGGTTCCAATCTTGTGCCACATTTTTAGACTTTTAGACTTGTCACTTTTTTGAATTTAGTTAGGTTGGGATGGGGATGCAGTCTAAATGCCAGTCGCTGTGCTGGGATTTTGAAATCATCTTTCCACCAGAGACCTGTGCTTTGTTGCTGCCTAGGTTCTTGATGTTTGGTCCTTTTTTCTATTAACATACATTATTTCCCAGAAGCATTCATTCACCCCATCCCCAGATAAACATATCTAACTGCCATCCATACCCCATATGTCTGAGCCCTAGCAGTAGAAACCTTCTAGGCTTAATAAGATTCTCCATTTGCTTACTTTTGCACATTTCATTGGCCCCACATAGCATATTTTCTTATTTTATATTCATTTTTCAGAAGTCTTTCTTCAATAATGCACCAAATCTAATTATTCCTTGTGTCTTGGTTTTGCACTATGCCAGGTGGTTTACAATGTTGTTCTTTGGTAATTTCTCCCTGTTATGTATGACGCCCTACTTGTAGATGCTTTCTACTTCAACTTTTATGAACATAGTTTCTGCCTCAGTGTTACTAAGACAGTCATTTGATAATGTGACCAATCTTAATTTGCTCCCATTTTTTATAGAAAAAAAATTACAATTGCTTAGCCTGGAGTTCAAGGCCTTCCACAATCTGTCCCACCTACATTTCCAATCTGATTTCCCATTCTCCTGCTAGAGGGACCACACCTCCAGGACAGCAGTTATGGACTTTGCTTATGTTCTCTCCTTTCTTCTTCACTGTTTAAAATCTTAATCATCATGACACGATTACATTCAAACATTTGCTGTGTCACTTTTACTTAGTAAATTAATAAAAACAATATATGTAAAGGACTTATCAGCACATTGTATAGAGTTGGCATTTGATAAATAGTAGCTAATATTGTTATTTTATTAGTATAGTCCTGATGCATGAAATTCGTGCAAGAGTAGGCCTTCCTTCCCCTGGCTGCTGGCTCTGGCTTCCCGCTGGCACCTGAGACCTGGGCTTCTCTCGGGCCACCAGTAGACTCCATGGACCCAGGCTTCCCTTGCAGCCCGGATTCGTCCAGAACGTTGTCTGGAAGGATGTCCAGTATAATAATTAGCATATTATGCTTTTATTTTTATAGATTATTGTATTATCACTGTTATTATTGCAAGAACTCCATGGTCACTTGGGCTATAAGGATGAATGACAGTTTCTGTCCTTACAAGGTCAGCTAAGAGCAGAAGAGGCTAAGGTAGTGATAAGTGATTTCAATGAAATATGATGACTAAATAGGGAGTTCAGTGCAAAGTGCTGCAGGGGCACAGTGCAGGGAGGACAGACTTCACCAAAGAAACTGTATTTGCCTTGAAGAGAATAGAAATGCACATGTGTTTAAAGGTTTTGCATGTTTCAGTTTTTTTTATTTTTTTTTCATTTTTTTATTACGGTATTATATGTATACATATCTTATCATTGCCCTCTACCCTCCCCCCCCCCCCCCCCCAGCATGCTTCAGTTTAGATTTATTCTAGGAAATATAGTTAAAGGATACTTTTAAATTATATTTTCTAATGATTCATGAGAGATAACTATTGACTTTTATAAATTGAGTTTGTATCTAGCAACCTTGCTGTACTTAAGGTGTATAGGTTTTTTTGGTTTTCTCAATGTATTGCAAACAATGGCAATATTTTTCTTTGCAGTCCCCATATGTTTTCCTTCCTTTTCTTGTTATAAGTATAGGTAAAGTTTCTAGGTATAGTTCACAATTACAATTACAATGTTGAATAGGAACAGTGAGAGTGGGTATACTTAACCTGTTTCCAACTGAAATGAAATTTCCTGGTATTCTAATGTTTCAAATTAAGCATGATGTTTGCACTTTAAAAAAAAAAAATTATTGATTTTTCCACAGAGAGGAAGGGAGCGGGATAGAGAGCTAGAAACGTCGATGGGAGAGAAACATCGACCAGCTGCCTCCTGCACACCCCCTATCAGGGATGTGCCCACACCCAATGTACATGCCCTTGACCGGAATCGAACCTGGGACTTTTCAGTCCGCAGACTGATGCTCTATCCACTGAGCCAAACTGGTTTCGGCAATGTTTGCACTTTTTGTTACATACCTTTTATTAGATTAAAAACATTTTCTTCAAGGTACTGAGCAATTTTGTAATTAATGAGTTGAATTTTATCAAATTCCATTGAAATATATTTTTTTCTCTAATTAATTATTACAAAGAATTTCTAAGAAGTTTTTTTAAATTAAAAAGTTATTGTACCATTGCCTAGTTGGTGTTGCTCAGTGGATAGTGTCTTCCCATACACCAAGATGTCTCTGGTTCAATTCCTAGTCAGGGCACATGCCCAGGTTTTGGGCTCAAGCCCCACTGAAAGCCAATAGATCTTTCTCTCTCATTGATGTTTCTATCTCTCTTTCCCTTCCTCTCTTTCTCAAGTCAATAAGAAAACATATTAATAATTAAATTATCTGAACTTTCTCATGATGTGGTTTTTTTTTTTTTTTCTACATTAACTTAAATCTATTTCTTATTCCAAAAGTTCAATTCCCATTGATACTGATGAAGATACGGTTTTGTAGTTCCTATTGTCCTAAGACATCTAAGGTCTGTATTAGTCACTTAATGTTTAAGTGAGCTCAAATTAACTGCTGTGCAATGTTGTTCAGACTTGCATTGCATCCTTAAATTAGGAAAAACATTTCGATCATGTACTACATTTAGGCTATTGAATATAAGGAACGATGTACATACATTTATTTTTTTTATTTTTTATTTTTGTTGTTTTTTTTAAACCATTTATTTATTTATTTATTTATTTTTACATATTTTATTGATTTTTTTTGCCCCCCTCCCTCCCTCCTACACATCCCCTCCCTCCCCAAAGTTTTATGTCCATTGGTTGTACTTATATGCATTGTACATACATTTATTGAGAACTTCTTATTCAACTGTTCCCCCAACTCATATCTGATGTATTTCATGATTGCAATACCGGGGCTAAATGAACCAGAACTACCAATGCTTGTTAATACTGAGACTTCTTTTTAAAGGTATGACCAAATTTTCCATTGCTACGCCCCGACACTGTTCCCAAATCATCCAATCAAAGCCCAAATAGGACCATCTTTCTAACACCCTGTTACTGAGACTGCCCTTGGTTCCCAGGGGTGTGTGTTCCCCTTTGCTGCAATGAATAATATAGGAAACTTTTTTTCAATTTCTGGTGTATTCTTGGACTTCAAGGTTTTGACAGGACCAAAAGACTTATTAACTAATGACAATGGATTAATTTTGTTTTGGTCCTGATCTGAGTAAATGAACAACAGAAAAGTAAATATTTACTAAAACAGGAGATATCTGAACAGTGACTGGATATTTGATATTAACAATAACTTTTTAAAGGTGGGATAATAGTATTGTGGTCAGGTTATTTTTAAAGAATAGTGTTCTTCTTCTTCTTCTTCTTCTTCTTCTTCTTCTTCTTCTGCTTCTTCTTTTTTAAATAAGTAAATGCTTAAATATCTATGGTTGAAATGATATGATGATATTTGCTTCCCTTGGGGGAGAAGTTAGAGCTATAGACAATCAAATAGTAAAAATACCAGTAAGTCTTAAAAGTCATTACGGTCATTTTGTTCTTGTATACAATTGAAAATTTCCAAAGTTCTTTAAAAAAAATTATTTTACGAGAGAGCAATATTATAAGATCAAATAAAACTCCATAGCAAGGCACTGAACTGTTATGCATTCCGATTATGAGGGCTTGGGCTTTCTTTTTTCTCTCCCACACTTGAATCAAGTCTGTCCAGTAAGAAACAGTGTGCCAGGAGCTACAATTAATAGGCTACTCGAACATCCCACCAGCTGATACTTTCCCTCTCTGCTTCTCTCCTTTCACCGCTGCGTCTACGCACACAACCAAGATGGTGGCGCCGCACAGTGAAACAAGTCATTCTCCCTCCCGGCGCATGCGCAGGCATCGGGCCGCGCAGGCGCATTCCTGCCTTCCTTCCCGAATTTGGCGGACCGCGCCTGCGCCGTGGGAGCTGCTCCCGGCTCCTGCTGGGCCTTGGCTGGCTGCAGTCTCAGGCTGACTGCGGCAGAAGTGGCAGCTCGAGTAAGATGAGGCTTTTGCTATTACTCCTGGTGGCGGCGTCCGCGCTGGCCCGGAGCGATGCTTCGGCCAACCTGGGCGGCGTGCCCAGCAAGAGATTAAAGATGCAGTACGCCACTGGCCCGCTGCTCAAGTTCCAGATTTGGTGAGTACGTGCGTCGCCCCGCCGCGCCTCCGCTCGGTGTCGCTCGCTACGCGAGTCCCCGGCTTCGCGGCCTAGCGGACTGGCCCTCCCCCGGATGGAAGATCAGCGCCAGCAGCCTTCCTCAGCCGGCCTTCCCGGGGCCCTTCCCAGCCCGGCTAAGCCTCCTTCCTTCCCTCCAGGCACAACTGCTCACTTCTATTTTGGTTCCTAGAATGGTGGGAATGCGGAAGGGAGGGCACGAGAAGGTTAGATCCTGAAAGGCGAGGGCGTGGGGACCCTTGTCCGTACCGAGGACCCGTTGGCGGGGTCCCGCCCGTGGCGGCCCTGGCTGCCTGCGGAGCCGGGCGGGAGTGGGCGCGGCGTTGGCCGAGGCGCTCCTAGCGCTCGCCGCCAGGTCTCTTCCTACCTCTCCCCAGGGCTGTGCCCGGCAGCCTCATTGCCCCGCTGGGTGAAGGTTAATTCGGGTCGTTGGGGGGACCCGCGAGTGATACATGCCTTTTACCCGCCGGAGCTCGAGTGAGGGAGCAGAGCTGACAGCCGGAGGGCGTGGAGCGGGCGGTTTGCAATTTCCAAAGTGTGAGAGAGCAGCAGCACATTGCTCTTCTGACAACCGTCCTCTCCGAGACAACTGGGTCTTCACCCTTTTTCCCTACACCTGCCTCCAAAGAGTTACCTTTGTACCTTTCAGTTTTCTCTTCAGAGAAATAGAAAGAAGAAAAAAAAATCCCAGCAGTTTTCGACATTGTACTTAACGTGATTTTGTTTTTACCAATGTATGTATGAGAATCAGAGCAGTAATGCAGTATAATAAGGTAAATGGGGTCTGAGGTTTGAAAGACTCATTAAATAAACAATTGTAAAAACACAGAAATTAGAATCCTGTATTGTAAAAAGGTGACTTTTAAAAAATATATATTTTATTGATTTTTTACAGAGAGGAAGGGAGAGGGAGAGTTAGAAACATCGATGAGATAGAAACACCGATCAGCTGCCTCCTGCACACCCCCTACTGGGAATGTGCCAGCAACCAAAGTACATGTCCTTGACAGGAATCGAACCTGGGACCCTTGAGTCCACAAGCCAACGCTCTATCCACTGAGCCAAACCGGTCAGGGCTCATTTGAACTTTTGATACTTAATTTTTGTTTCTTTTTTTGCTGTAAGAACAAACTTGTCCCAAAAGTCTAATAAGAGTTTTCATTCACCCTAAGCATATTAAAAGTGCTTTAGGTTTGTTTTTTGTTTTTCATGGCTAACTAAGGACTTTATTTTAAACAAAAATTTAAAAATTGAGGGTTATTTCTCTGGGTGTGGGAAGGTATCAGGGCAAGGAATTCCCTGTGTTAGGCCAATACCGTCATGTAGGGGAGGGGCTGTGATAATCCTTCCTGGCCCCTGTGATGGGGAATGCTAGTAAGTGAAGAACCCTATGTGAGAGCCTACCTGCCAAGAGGAACAGTCTAGGCCTCAAGCTAGGAGTCAGTCCCTCGGAGGGAATAGTCAGGCAGCGAGCAGCACGGCCTAAGGTGAACCACAGGATCAAGTCATCAGTACCAAAAGAACCCACTCTTTCCCCGATTTCTGGGATCTAGAATAGATTAGAATAGATTAAGGGTCTCTCAGACCCTGGGGAGAAGAAAGGCCCAGTGCCCTCACATTTGTCACCTTTCTTCTGGGGGCAGTGAGTCCTGGAGTTTGTCAGGTGGTAATACTGGACCCCTGGCAAGCTCTACAGTCAGCACATGATCGTGTGTGTGTGTGTGTGTGTGTGTGTGTGTGTGTGTGTGTGTGTTTAAATATGTAGATGAGAAATAACTTTATTAATTATCCTATCAAATATAAGTATAGCTTGTTTGTTACTCCCCCCCTCCCCCAAGAGATTAATCTGTATGTAATAAGGTGAATATTAGTTTTGGTGGAATGTTTTGGACATTCATTTGCAATATTGGGAAAGGAGAGGAAGCTAAGACAATTGAGGTTAAATATGTGAAAATTTTTTTAATTTTATTTGAAATCTGCCGGGACCGGTTTGGCTCAATGGATAGAGCTTCGGCTTGGGGACTGAAAGGTCCCGGGTTTGATTCCGGTCAAGGGCGTGTACCTTGGTTGCGGGCATATCCCCAGTAGGGGGTATGCAAGAGGCAGCTGATCGATGACTCTCTCTCATCGATGTTTCTAACTCTCTATCTCTCTCCCTTCCTCTCTGTACAAAATCAATAAAATAAAAAATAAAAATAATTTTATTTGAAATCTAAGTGCTGTAAAATGCAGTTGTTCACTAATCACCACTGTTAGCAAAAGATAACTAATTTTTACCTTCCTTTCAGGTTTTTTTCCTTATTTTATATTTCTTGAGTACTCTAACTTTAGTTCAATAGATCATCTGTTAATTGTACACATTTGTAATTGCTAATAGAACAAAAGAGCAATACAACACACAAATGGAATTAAAGGGACAAAGATCATTGTGCAAAATAGCTTAAAACAAACTTTCCTATTCTACCATCAATATTATTTCAATAAATAATTGTTCAATACTGCCAAAGCCAGTTTGGCTCAGTGGATAGAGCATCGGCCTGCAGACTGAAGGGTCCCGGGTTCGATTCCGGTCAAGGGCATGTACCTTGGTTGTGGGCACATCCCTAGTAGGGGGTGTGCAGGAGGCAGCTGATCGATGTCTCTCTCTCATGGATGTTTCTAACTGTCTATCCCTCTCCCTTCCTCTCTGTGAAAAATCAATAAAGATATATTTAAAAAAAATAATTGTTCAATACTTGCTTGTGGCCGGAACAAACAATTGGTATAACTCACATGATGTTTACTTTAGTCTCTCCCCTCTTTCCCCTTCCCACTCTCTCTGAGTACCAATGGGGAAAATATCCTGGGGTAAGGATTAAAAACAACAACAACAACAAAAAGAATAAGAAGAAGAAAAGGGAAAAGTGGGTTGGTTGGCACCATGAATTAGGAGACTGAAAAACATGACAGTCTTTAAAAAGCCCAGAATCTATTCAAAATAGCATGGACAAAGGATTTTTCTGTATTTCCTAAATTTCCTTGCTATTCATTATACACAAATCACCTAATTTATATGCAAGTTCTTTTAAAAAAGTATTGTGAAAAATATTTTAGATTGAGCAGTTGCAAAAGTTGACTCCATAAGTAAGATATTTCATATACTAGATTTGCAAAGTGATTAGGACTTAACTTTAAGATTTTTTCCAAAGTTTAAATTTACTTTTTAAGGGGCAGAAGAAATGGGCAGCTATTGCAACATTTTTAGCTTGTTTAGATACTTATTTGTTGGTTGTATACTGGAAGTCATAGTTTTATTCACTGACCCAGAAAGAATGGAATAACTTGAAAGTTATGGATATGATAGTTGTTATGGAATGACTACTGCTCCTTACCAATGTGTGTTTGCCTGTAATTTAACATTTTGCCCACCTCGATAAACACTATATATGTTTTATATCCCATCAGCAGTCTTAATTGCTATTTCAAAACAGAAAAATTGTTTTGTGCCCAGCCAGCATGGCTCAGTGGTGGAATGTCGACCTAGGAACCAGGAGTTCAGGGACTATGCCTGGGTGATCTCCAGTGTGGGTGTGCAGGAGGCAGCCAATCAGTGATTCTCATTATTGATGTTCCCATCTATCCCTCTCCCTTCCTCTCTGAAATCAATAGAAAAATATTTTTTAAAAGAAAGAAATTATTTTGAGGAAAACAATTATGTAGAGAAAAAGTTCCTTGGTTTTTCTTTATGAGTCTGAAGACAAATATAGTGGGCATTCAATAAATATTTGAGTGAATTAATAAATGATACATGGATGTATAACCATGGAAAAGTCACTTGATCTCTCTGGGCTTCATGTTTTTCCATTCATCTATAAAAAAAGAAGTTTCAACTCGATTAGGTCTCTAGTTCTGAAAATACTGCATTAAAAGTTAGATACTGTTATTTTAAATAATCAGCTTCATTGTAAACACCAATGCAAACTTGGGCATTGAACTCAGGTGGCATTTCTTGGTTTAAAGGTAGATAGGTACCTGGGTAATCTAGGTTATTTGTATAATAGAAGCATCATTAAAATTTCATACAGAAAACACAGTTGTGGCAAAATAAAATATTTGGTGAATCTAAGAACAGTAATAAGAAAATATTAGGTAAGGTGAATGCATAGTTAAGATAAGGTATCTAGAGATTTATAAGTTATTTCGAGAACTTAGCTGTGGAGATTTGTCTCCCTTTGAAAAAAATTCTTATTTTTTAGTGACATATATTTCATGGAATTTTTATTCTAAATATAGAGGAAGTATTAATTGTTAAGAAAGACTGAACTTCTCTCTTTTTTTAAAAGTGAGTTTTTTTAAGTTGAGATCTATTGATAGTTGGACTGTCTCACCCTGTCAGATATAAACTTGATGCCCTTTTCTGGGGTTGATGATGATAGTTGGCATTTTTCATTGATGACTGTAATTAAAAACTGTCATCTGAGGTTTTATTCTACTATAACTTAATTGCTAATCCTGTTTTCTCTGTACCAAGTGGTATCTTCATTGCTTTATATTTATGTGTTCCTTAACTTAGAACTTAATGTATTTAACTACTTAATCTTACCTGGATTTGTAAGCTCTCCTGTTGATATGATGGTACTATCTACCTTCCCCTTCCCAGTTTTACTGAAGTGTAATTGACAGATAGAAATTTTGTATACTGAAGGCGATAATTTGATATACATATTCAAGATATGTTGTGAAACACTACAAAAGGTTAGTTAACACTTCATCTCATATAATTATCTTCATTGTGGTGAGAACATTTAATATCTATTCTTAGCAACTTTCAAGTGTACAGTGCAGTATTGCTCATAATAGTCATCACGTTATACATTTGATTCCCAGAATTTATTCATTTTAAAACTGGAAATTTTCGTCCTTTCACCAGCATCTCCCCATTTTCCCAATCCCCACTACCTTGCCACCACCAATCTACTCTGTCTATGAGTTCAACTTTTTATCTTTTTTTTTTTAGAAATATTTTTATTGATTTCAGGAAGGAAGAGGGAGAGAGAGAGAAACATCAGGGATGAGAAGGAATTCATGGATTGGCTGCCTCTCACACACACACACACACACACACACACACGACTGGGGACCAAGCCGGCTATCCAGGTGTGTGCCCTGACAAGGACTCAAACTGTGAACTGGTTCATAGGTTGATGCTCAACCACTGAGCCACACTAATTGGGCGGGTTCCATTTTTTTAGATCTTACTTATATGTGGAATCTATAATAATCGTATTTCTCTAACTTATTTCACTTAGCATAATGTGGTCAAGGTCCATCTGTGTTATTCCAAACTGCAGTGTTTCCTTTTTCTTTGGCTGAATAATATTTCATTGTATCATATGTACCATGTTTTTTTAAAAATATTTTTTTTATTTCATAGAGGAAGGGAGAGGGAGAGAGAGATAGAAACATCAGAGATGAGAGAGAACCATCAACTGGCTGACTTCTGTGTGTCCTCTCCTTGGGATCAAGCTTACAGTCGGACATGTACCCTGCCCAGGAATCAAACAGTGACCGGTTTCTAGATTGACGTTCAACCACTGAGCCAATGGGCTGGGCCTGTGCCATGCTTTCATTCATTCATTCATTGGGCATAGTTGTTTCCATGTCTTGGCTATTGTAAATAATGGTGCAGTGAACATGGGGGTGCAAATATTTCTTAGAGATAGTGATTTATTTCAAATATATACCCAGAAGTGAGGTGACTTTATCAAATGGTAGTTCTATTTTTAATATTTTAAGGAACCTATGTACTGTTTTGTAGTGGCTGCACCAGTTTACATTTCCACTAATAGTGTACAGGGTTTCCTTTTCTCCATGTCCTTTCCAAACCTTATCTCCTTGTTATTTATGATAGACATCCTTGCAGGTGTGATGTGCTATCTCATTGTGGTTTTTATTTGCATTTCCCTCGTATTTAGTAATATTAAGCACCTTTTCATGTATGTTGGCCGTTTATTCAAGTCCTTTGTCCATTAAAAAAAAAAATCCTTAGTTTGAGGTTATATTTTATTGATTTGAGAGATAGAGAAAGAGAACGAGAAAGAGAACCTTAGATGTAAGAGAGAAACATTGATCAGTTGCTGCCTCCTGTATGAACCTGATCAGTATTGAACCTGAAACTTAGGTATGTGCCCTGATTGGGAATCAAACCCACAACCTTTTGGTGTACAGGACGACACTCCAACCAACTGAGCCACCCGACCAGGGCCTTTTTCTTAACTTTTTGGTTATTGAGTTGTATGATCCTTATATATTTTAGATATTTACCTCTTACCAGTTAATTTGAAAATATTTTCTCCTGTAGGTTGCCGTTTTATTTTGTTGATGGATTCCTTTGCTGTGCAGAAGCTTTTTAATTTGAAGTAGTCCCACTTGTTTATTTTTGCTTTTGATGCCTTTGCTTTGGTGTAAAATCCAAATAATTGCCAGGAGTGTTGTTGTCAAGGAGCTTTCCCTCCTAGGTTTTCTTTTTAGAATTTTATGATTTCAGGTCTTTAGTTCATTTTGAGTTGATTTTTGTGTATGTTGTAAGGTAGTCATCCAGTTTCATTCTTTGCATGTGGCTGTCTAGTTTTCTCAACACCATTATTTGAAGACACTGTCCTTTCTCCATTGAATGTTCTTAGCTTATTTGTTTTAAATTAATTGACCAAATATGGGTTTATTTGTTGGCTCTCTATTCTGTCCCCATTGATCTGTGTGTCTGTTTTTGTTTTTTTGTTAATCCTCACCCAGGAAGGGAGAAGGAGAGAGACAGAGAAACATTGGTGTGAGAGAGACACATCTATTGGTTGCCTCCCACATGCACCCTGACCAGGGCCAGAGATCCAGCCTGAAACTGAGATACATGCCCTGGATCAGAATAGAACCTGGGACCCTTCAGTTCGTGGGCAATGCTCTATTCATCGACCCAAACTGGCTAGAATGTGTGTTTTTATGCAAATGCCACACGTGTGTGTGTGTGTGTGTGTGTGTGTGTGTGTGTGTGTGTGTGTAATTTTTTAATTTTGAGAGTACATTTATTTATTAAAGTTGGGGACAGTGAGACAAGGAAGGGGGGCTTAGGGCAGAAGAAGCAAGAGGAGACAGCCTGGATGGGGCTGCTTTGGCTCACTGAGAAATAAAAGTCACAGTGAAAAGAAGTGAGCCAAGGCAGGACTGCTGTCATCTCATTGAAAAATCAGAGAAAAGGCAGCTTTGGATCAGGTTCAGGGAGTTAGCTTGGAAGGAGCTGCTGCTTTCCATTGCTCTTGGTTGCAAGTCTCTTGGGGACCCTTAGAATTTAGGAGATGCACACCTGTGAGGGAAGAAGTGGGGAAAGAGCAAGGTGCTAGGGTGCATCTGGGAGGGAGAGAAAACGCACCAATATCATACTGTTTTGATTACTCTGGCTTTGTAAAATAATTTGAAATCAGGAAGTATGATGCCTCCAGCTTTATTCTTCTTTTTGAAGATTATTTGGGCCATTTGGGGTCTTTTGTGGTTTCATAAAAATTTTAGGATTGTTTGATTTCTGTGAAAAATGCCATTGGAATTTTGATAGGGATCTGTAGATTGCTTTGAGTAGTGCGGACATTTTAACCATATTAATTCTTCTGACTCATGAACATGAGATATCTTTTTGTGTCTTCAGTTGCTTTGATCAGTATACTTTTTTCCTCTCTTACAAATGCATTGGTGGCATTCTTCCCCTTTTCTTGTTGGGGAAGCAAATATCATATCCATAATGTAGTAGTGCAGATTTTAATGAAGATTTTAATGAAGTTGATTGGGTGCTGTTGACTTAATTTCTGGATTAATGGTATGGATCACTATCATATTGTTGAAAATTATATTCCCAATCTTTGTTTTCCTTCACAAAGTGGAACTAAATTTTAAAGTCAGAAGGGATCTAAAAGTTATTTAAGCTCCTCTTATTGTGATTAAACAAGTATGTTTGCCTAGTTAGGGGCAGAAGAGGAATAAGAACCAGAGTTCCATGTCTCCTGCCGTGGTATTTTTTTGTTTCTTGTCCACATTTTTAAAAGTCCCTATTTCTGATGAATCAGAGTTGTTTTTATTTTAGTGTTTATGTAGTCATTGATTTTGTTAAAAAGCCAAATTGATTAGAGAGCTCAAAGTACACTGACATGTGTGAGTAAGTATTTGCTGTTGATCAACAGTAACCCAAATTTATAAAGTCCAAAATATTAATGGAAGGGTTTACTTGAGGTTGAGGTAACTTAAATATGTGAAGTTTGTGGGGAAAAACTTCACCATACCCATTACCCAGCATCAATCATTATTTATTTGTGACTGTTCTTGAGAAACACTTTTAATCTTGGTAATTTTAGGCTTTGTCTAACTGCAAAAACAATCTAGGTATATTTTAAACCACTTAACAGGAAGCACTTTTGTTTTTCTGCAGTGTTTCCTGAGGTTATAGGCGGGTGTTTGAGGAGTACATGCGGGTTATTAGCCAGCGGTACCCAGACATCCGCATTGAAGGAGAGAATTACCTCCCTCAACCAATATATAGGTAAGTAAATTTTAGTGACTTAGGGGGAAAAGAATTTGACTTCATAAACTTTTGTGAAGTGGTTCAATTAACTTTCTTGATTATTATCATTTCTTAGTTGGTTGTAACAATACATAGAGAATACGGTCATAAAAAGCAAATTTAGAAGAAATTTTCTGTGGAAAAGAGAAGAGGAGAATCACTTTCTAGATGACAATTCTTCAAAAGATGTGTTTTCTTTAATTGTTATTGTGGAGATAGACCATGAACTCCCACATTTTTATAATTAGTCAGTGGCATAAAATTCTATACTGTTAAAATAATAGTATTTTTTAAAGGCCAGTATAAGTGAATTTTTTATTGATTTAAAATATGTAACATTTTTATTTAAAAACTATTCAATAAACTAGTCACTATCTTTTTCACTAGTTATAATTAATAACTTTAAATTTGGTGTCTAGAAAATATCTGTACACATACATTGGAGTTAATGAAATTTTGAAATAAATGAGAATTTGCAGCTTCTGATGAATTTTTCTTTTCTCTTGATAGACACATAGCATCTTTCCTGTCAATCTTCAAACTAGTTTTAATAGGCTTAATAATTGTTGGCAAGGATCCTTTTGCTTTCTTTGGCATGCAAGCTCCTAGCATCTGGCAATGGGGCCAAGAAAATAAGGTATGTAACTTAATAACTTTGACAACTGTAAGTTTTTAGGTTGTCACTGAATATGTTTTAATGAGTTTTCCTTTTTTAAAAAAGTACTTATTGCTGATTAACCTGTTTACATATATTTTTTCAATTTAAACCACTTTTTGTCTCTGGGCAAGGCACTTAACTTCTTTTGGCTTTAGTTTTTCTATTTATGTAAGAATGATTAAGTTTTTTTATTATTTGAAGGATAGGGAAGTATTACTTCAGTAGAACCTGGACACAGTAATTTAAAACCTGATTTTGATTGTATAATTAGGCTAATCATATCCAGCAAAACATAATATATATATAATATATACATTATATATATAACAAGCCAGCAACAGGAACACTGGAATGACCTATCACTATGACGCCCACTGTGGCCAGTGAACTGGCCCAATTGGGGGTGGGGCCAGCCGGCCAACCTCCCGTGGCCCCCCCCCCCCCGCCATCCCCCTCTCCCATTGGCCTACCCACCCCGATTGTCCAATAGCCCCTCCCCAGGCAGGCCCCACCCACATTGGGGGTGGGGCTGGCCAGCTAACTTCCTGCAGCTCCTTGCCCCAGCAAGCCCTGTCCTCAGTAGGCCCACCCATCCCGATTGTCCAACAGCCCCTCCCCAGGTAGGCCCCACCCACATTGGGGACGGGGCTGGCTGTCCAATCTCCCACAGCCCCTCACCTAGTGGCTGACTCCCTCCTTGGTTTTCCCACCCGAATTGGGGATGGGGCATGTTGGCCAATAGCTCTCGGCCCCTTCCCCCAGACAGCCCAGCCCTGATTGGGCCTTAATTGAGGTGGCCAGCCATCCAATCTCTCACTGTCTCCTCCTCAGATAGGCCCGAATCCCACCCGTGCACAAATCTGTGCATTGGGCCTCTGGTCCTATATAATAAAAGCCTAATATGTTAAGTGTGCAGTCAACTGGTTGGCCGTTCAACCAATCAAAGCATAATATGCTAGTGAAATGCTTATGCTGCTCAACCGCTTGCTGTGATGTGCACTGACCACTAGGGGGCAGATGCTGCGACCAGTAGGTTAACATGGTGCTGGGGTCCAGTTGATCGGGACTGAGCGAGATTGGCCAGACATGCCCTGAAGCATTCCCATGGTCCTTTCCCAGCTGGCCAACCTCCTACGTCTCTTCCCAACCCTGATTGTGCATCAGTGGGGTCCCTTGGCCTGGCCTGCACCCTCTTGGAATCTGAGACTCCTCAGGGTATGCTGGAGAGCCAGTTTTGGCCCAATCCCACAGGCCAGGCCGAGGGACTCCACTGGTGCATGAATTCATGCACTGGGCCTCTAGTATATATATAACGCATGCCTTTTATACCTACTGATATGATTTTAATCATGTTAAAAAAGGGATTTTTTAAAATTGTTCTTATCAAAACATACACACATACTCTGTTATTATTTGTCCTTTGAGTCTTCTGTTAATAGGGAATCTGTTTAGCAAATTACCTGAAACAATCAATATATGCATAAGACTTTGTGCTATTTCTTTTTTTCTTTGTAGGGTCCTGCCACAGCATACAGAAATTCTCTCTAAGTCTCTTTCCATCTGTTTTATTTAAACTTTTATTTTCTGGAGGGTCCTCCTTTCTGCTGTAAGAAATGGGACTAAGTTTTATTTCTCTCTTGATGAGATTGCACAAGTTTCCTTCTAAGAAGCATTATCCTTTGGAGTCAGAAGTGGTTTTGTTCTTTATTTCTAGACTGAGTCTATCTTTAGCTGACTCCTGCGGTACATTTTTTTCCTTAGGGAACCTCAGGTGCTACCTCTGCCTTATTACTAACAAAACATTGCTTCTTGTAGGATTAAGAATTAGAAGTTAAGTACCGTATTTTTCGGACCATAAGACGCTTCGGACCATAAGACACACCAGTTTTTAGAGAAGGGAAATGAAGAAAAAAAGATTCTGAAACAAATAGTGTCCTAAAATATTTTATGTGCATTAAAACCCAACATCACAGTCATAAACACATGTAATCAACCCTGTAAAGAAAACAAGCAGCATTTAGAACAAGTAAACAGCAGCATTTAGAACCATTTTAGAGCTGGGCAAGCACACAGAGACCACATAGAGCCGGGCAAGTAAAAAAACTTTTTTTTTAAAGTATATGTGTAGGATATATTTGGACCATAAGACGCAGGGACTTTATCCCCCCACTTCTGGGGGGAAAAAAGTGCGTCTTATGGTCCGAAAAATACGGTACTTATTGATAATATTTTGTTACATTTATTCTGTTGATTTTAAAATATCTTCAGTGCATTTTACTTCTATAGATATCTACTGTGGAAGATGAATGTACTTGACAGCTATAGCTTACATGAACTTCCTTGTGTGTTTTTCCCCTGGACTTCTATTTCTAAATGCTCGGGTAATGTTTATGAAATCAAAACCCACATAGCTCAAGGGGAAGGAGGGCAAGGAAAACGCTTTCTCATCTGCTATGGACATTTTGAATTATTATTCTGAAACACTTTTCTGTGACTTGACATCCTATTCATCTTTCTTTTAATCAGGTGATTTCATTAAATTAAAACCTCTCTGTCCATCAGGGAGCTTCTTGTATCTTTTGGAAGGCTAAAGATTTGCATTCCAAGGCAAATGAATGTTATTTAATATTAGAGGCCTGGTGCACGAATTTGTGCTTGGGTGGGGTCCCTCGGCCTGGCTGGAGATTGGGGAGTCTTGCCCAGTCCCTATAGGGGCCTATTGGGTGTGAGGAGGGATTGCAGGAAGTTGGCCAGCAGTGGGGAGTGGCCATGGGAGGTTGGCTGTGGGAGTACACTGACCACCAGGGGGCAACTCCTGTGTTGAGTGTCTTACCCCTGGTGGTCAGTGCACGTTAGAGCGACCAGTCTGCCGGTTGTTCAGTCATTTAGTTGTAGCGGTCACTTAGATATGCCTGTGCTATCTTATCTACTTTTTTCTTAGCTTGTCTCTTGGGTTCATAGATTACTAGCTTATTGTAAAAAGATATCTCAGAAACAACCAGGATGGAAGAAATGCATATATGGGAAGGGAGCATCCATGCACTCTCCAGGCGTACCATTCTTTCATCTTTTTTCTTTTTCCTTGTAAATCCTATATAATAAAAGCCTAATATGGTAAGTGTTTGGTCATCCAGTTGGCTGTTCAACCAATCAAAGCATAATATGATAATGATATGCTAGAGTCACTCAACTGCTCACTATAATGTGCACTGACCACCAGGGGGCAGATGCTCAATGCAGGAGCTGCCCCCTGGTGGTTAGTGTGCTCCCACAGGGGGAGTGCTGCTCCACCAGAAGCCCTGAACCAGGCTCAGCTGGTGAGCACAGTGGTGGTGGCAGGAGCCTCTCCTGCCTCCATGGCAGCTCTAGGGATATCTGACTGATGGCTTAGGCCCGCTCCCTTCAGGGGCTCCCAAACTGCAAGAGGGCACAGGCCAGGCACTGGGCCTCTGGTATTTACATAAAGGTTCACCAACCTGGAAACTTCAATCCAGGTCCTTTTGGGTTTTTGTGGAGACTTCATTACATAAGCATGATTAATTAAATCATTGGCAATTGGCAACTAATTTGGCCTCCTGACCCTCTTCTTTTTCCTGAAATGGAAATGTCCAATGCTCTAATCACTTGGCTGGCTTTCCTCTTTCCTGGCAATCAGTTCCATCCTTAGGTACTGTTCAAAAATCACTTCATTAACATAAGAAAAGACACCTTTCCCATTCCCATCACTGTGAAAATTTCAAGGTTTTTAGATTCTCTGTGCTATAACTTGAGAGGAAGACCAAATACATATTTCACAGTTTGACTTAAAACGATTTGTTTGGAACATGGGCAGGTTGTATTGAAAACATGGAGTTGCCGAAACCGGTTTGGTTCAGTGGTCGAGTGTTGGTCTGCGGACTGAAAGGTCCCAGATTCGATTCCGGTCAAGGGCATGTACATTGGTTGCAGGCACATCTCCAGTAGGGGGTGTGCAAGAGGCAGCTGGTCGATGTTTCTCTCTCATTGACGTTTCTAGCTCTCTATCTCTCTCCCTTCCTCTCTGTAAAAAATCAATAAAATATATATATAAAAAACAAAACAAAACATGGAGTTGCTGATTGTTGCATCAGTAGTCTCTTGTGAATTCACTCATTATATTATAAAAATGGTCAAATGAACCCTTCTTACACTGGTATTCTTTTGTTAAACTTTACTATTAAGAGACCTCTAGAAATTCTGCCTCTACATTATGAATATTCTATATAATAAAGAGCTAATATACTAATAGTAATGATACCCTCACGCCTTAACAACCCATCAGCAAGAGGCTGTGTGTGCAGCAGGTATGAGTGGGCAGGGCTGTATGCGCGGTGAAGTGCACACAGATAGGCAGGATCATGACACTGTTTCCCCTGCTGGTGGGGCTTAACGGGGATGGGGCTAGCTGGGTCTAGGTCTCTCCCCCCTCCCCTTTTTTAAAAAAATATATTTTTATTGATTTTCCACAGAGAGGAAGGAAGGGATAGAGAGCTAGAAATGTCGATTAAATAAATGTCGATTAGGAATTAGATAATTGTGGCTCAGACTAGATTGGTGCCAATGAAGATAAAAAGATGGAAGGATGGGGACTGATTTTTGAGAAATATAAAAAGTGGAATTGAGATTTGGTAATCCTTGGTAATCCATTAGGGTATGGAGTGTAAGGGCAAAAGTGATTTTACCCTAGGTTTCTGACATGGGCAATTGGGCAGAATGATAATCGTGCCATTAAATAAATAAGAAATGCCGGGGATATGCCCGCAACCAATGTACATGCCCCTGACCGGAATCGAACCTGGGACCCTTCAGTCCGCAGACCAATGCTCTATCCACTGAGCCAAACCAGTTTCGGCTCTTCCCTTTTAATGTTCATGAATTTCATGCACCAGGCCACTGGTCATATATAAGTTCTTTAGCATGTGTGGTGCTGTGAATTAATATTGAATTTTTCTTTTTCTGTGTATGTTATTGAACATATATATGGGATAGCAGTAATAGTTTGTATAGAAACTTTTAAAATAGAATTAAAAATAGCAAGTACCAAAAAAAAAAAAAAATGAGACTACTTAAAGTTACTGTGTATTAAGTTGCCATGCTGTTTTAATTTCATGCCATTGTACTTAATTATATTTTCTTTTAGGTCTATGCATGTATGATGGTTTTCTTCTTGAGCAACATGATTGAGAACCAGTGTATGTCAACAGGTGCATTTGAAATAACTTTGAATGGTGAGTTCTGAATAGTTTGCATTCTGTGATAAATTTTAGGTGATTTATAGTGAGCATCAGGCTTTTCTGGTTTTCATAATATGCTAAATCATCTCTTTATATGGGCCTCATCTACTTTAATGGCATTAAAATTATATCTGGCCTGGCCAGCATGACTCAGTGGATTGATTGTCGTCCCATGCAGCAAGAGTCTCTGGTCCAATTCCCAGTCAAGGCACATGCTCGGGTTGTGGGCTTTATCCCCAGAAGGGGGTGTGCAGGAGGCAGCCAATTGATGTGTCTCTATCATCGATATTTCCGTCTTCTCTACCTCTCCCTTCCTCTCTCTCTCAAAAAGCAATAAAAAACATATGTAAAAAAAAAATAACATCTGCATAATGACACCTGAATGTATAGCTCTTCTAGATCTCTCTTGTAGATGCTACCCCCAGAATCTTAAACTTCTATTCACAAACTCTTGATTACTTCTGCTTCCTGTAATTCCTGTATATTCCAGTTTGTTCTTTCCTTGGCATTTCTTATTTATTTAATGGCACGATTATCATTCTGCCCAATTGCCCATGTCAGAAACCTAGGGTAAAATCACTTTTGCCCTTACACTCCATACCCTAATGGATTACCAAGGATTACCAAATCTTCTCAATTCCACTTTTTATATTTCTCAAAAATCAGTCCCCATCCTTCCATCTTTTTATCTTCATTGCACCACTCTAGTCTGAGCCACAATTATCTAATTCCCCTCTAATACATTGTCTAACCAGAGGTTAGCAAATATGGCTTATATTTCAAGATAACAATAGTTTTTATATATTCTAATTGTTTAAAAATATCACAGGAATATTTGAAATTATATGAAATTCAAATTAGTGTTTATTCCTAAAGTTTTGAGCTTCATCAATGAAAAACATTTAGAAATTTAATTTTATCTCTCTAGATGTAAAAGTACCTACCGTATTTTTCGGACCATAAGACGCACCAGTTTTTAGAGAAGGGAAATGAAGAAAAAAAGATTCTGAAACAAATAGTGTCCTAAAATATTTCATGTGCATTAAACCCAACATCACAGTCATAAACACATGTAATCAACCCTGTAAAGTAAACAGCAGCATTTAGAACCATTTTAGAGCCGGGCAAGCATACAGAGACCACACAGAGCCGGGCAAGTAAAAAAACTTTTTTTTTAAAGTATATGTGTAGGCTATATTTGGACCATAAGACGCAGGGACTTTTCCCCCCCACTTCTGGGGGAAAAAAAGTGCGTCTTATGGTCTGAAAAATACGGTATATAATATCCTTGATTTTGCATTTTGATCCATAAAGCTGGAAATAATTACTTTCTGGCTTCTTATAGAAAAATTGGCTGATACCTGCTCCAAATAGAGTGATTTTTAAAAAATGCTTATTTCATCTTCTTGCTTCACTGCCTCAATTCATTATCTGTCTTTACTTTGTTCTCAAGATAAAGACCAGAATATGGATGGCAAAAAGGCCCTGTATGATGTAGCCTAGGGATCAGCAAACCAAGACTTTGTGGAACATATCTTATGCTGCATGTTTTGTAAACAAAGTCTTATTGGAACTCAGCCATGCCTATTCATATATGTATGCTTTCAGGCCACCAGAGATTTGAGTAGCTGTGACAGACTGTACACCTTTTTGAGCTGAAAATGCTTACTATCTGTCCTTTTGCAGTTTGTTGATCTCTGACTTAGTTCCTGCCTACCTCTCCAGCCTCCTTTATACCACACCACTTCTATATTTCACCTGTCACTTCTTTTTTTATTTTTCATCCTCACCTAAGGATATTTTTTTGTATTGATTTCCAGGGAGAGTGGAAGGGAGGGAGGAGTGGGAGAGAGAGAAACATTGATGTGAGAGACACACATCAATTGGCTGCCTCCCATATGTTCTCCCATAGGGCCAGACAACCTTCAACTGAGATACACATTCTTGACCTGAATTGAACCCATGACACTTTGTTCCTCAAGCTGATGCTCTAGCCTAGGGGTGTCGAACTCAATCAGAGAAGGGGCCAAAATCTAAAATCCAGCCTAAATCGTGGGCCGAATGGTTTACTGAACAGTCATAAACTGTCATTGTGATGGAAACGCAGCGGAGTGCAGTGATGACAGCGCGGTGCGGGCCACATTGCAAGGCCTGGCGGGACGGATTTGGCCCGCGGGCCTTGTGTTTGACACATGTGCTCTAGCCACTGGATTCAACTGGCCAGGGCTCAGCTCTCATTTTTAATTATAATCTCTCCTTTTAATAATAGTAGGTGCTGCCGAAACCGATTTGGCTCAGTGGATAGAGCGTCGGTCTGTGGACTGAAAGGTCCCGGGTTCGATTCTGGTCAAGGGCATGTACATTGGTTGTGGGCAATCCCCGGTGAGGGGTGTGCAGGAGGCAGCTGGTCGATGTTTCTCTCTCATTGATGTTTCTAGCTCTCTATCCCTCTCCCTTCCTCTCTGTGGAAAATCAATAAAATATATTTAAAATAATAATAATAATAGTAGGTGCTCCGTAGCCAGGTTGGCTCAGTTGATAGAACGTCAGCCTATCCAAACAAAGCGTCCTGGGTTTGATTCCAGTCAAGGGCATGTATCTTGGTGCAGGTTCCTCCCTGGCCCAGGCCCAGGTTGTAGCTCATGCAGGAGGCAACCATTCGATGTGTTTTTTTCATATCATTGTTTCTCTCTTCCTCTCTCTTCCACTCTCCCTAAAAATCAATGAAAAAATATCCTCAGATGAGGATTAATCAAACAAAGTAAGTGCAATGGCTCCTTTCCAGCTTCTCAGGTCTCCCTCTCATAGCATCTTCTAGTTTTAATTCTTAGTACACAATTGTGATTTTGTAGCTCTTTGTATAGTTTTTTTCAATTCTCCTACGAGAATATAAATTCTTTAAGAGTAAGAAGCCTAATTCTTTTGCTCACATTTTTATTCTTAGTTGTGTACATAGACAGTAAATATTTGTAGAATGAATGTTTATTACAGAATCATGTTTAATTTTGAAGGCTGGTACAATTTATTTTTATAGATGTACCTGTATGGTCTAAGCTGGAATCTGGTCACCTTCCATCCATGCAACAGCTTGTTCAAATTCTTGACAATGAAATGAAGCTCAATGTCCATATGGATTCAATCCCACATCATCGATCATAGCCCCACCTATCAGCACTGAAAACTCTTTTGTAAGTACTTAAAAATATAAGAACTGTGTATATGTATTAATTTATTTGCATCAGGAATCAGCAAGATACTAGATATTACATTTACTAGATATTAGGTTTCCATCTTGGGATTTAACAGATGGATGTTTTCTTCATTAAAATTTATCAATAGAAGAGATCAAATAAGATTGTATTAAGTTATCTTCAAGGCTTAATAATTGGGCTTATGATATTATTATTTTTGACTATTACCTTCTAATGGCCAGAATTGATATTATACTATTTGTTTATATTTATACTAGAGGCCTGGTATACGAAATGCATGCACAGATGGGGTCTATAGGCCTGGCTGGCAATTAGGTCTTTCAGGACTGTCTTGCCTGGTCCTTATCGGGGACAGGCCAGCTGGGGCTTGCTGGCTGCTGGACTGGGGGGAGGGAGGAACCACAGGTTGTTTGCTGACCCAGGGGGAGGGACCAGGGGAGGTTGGCTGGCTGTGGGAGGTTGGCTGTGGGAATGCACTGACCACCAGGGGGCAACTCTTGCATTGAACATCTGCCCCCTGGTGGTCAATGCACATCATAGCAAATGGTCCACCGGTTGTTCTGGTTGTTTAGGCTTGGTCGCTTAGGCTTTTATATATATAGATTCTCTCCTTACCTTCAAGTAATTAGTTCCTAAGAATATAAAAATTATTTTACCATGCTCAAGATAGAGAATTTATAAGCAAATATGTGTGAACGTGGAGAGGTATTAACTTTTGCTTAGCAGAGATGTTCTCAGTTCTTTTCTGATCAAGAAGTTAATTTTACAAGTGAAGTTTGAAATAAAATATTCTTTTTCTTATATGTCTTTCAGACATTTCAGGATTTTTGCAAGAGCAGCGTGACTGACATTATGAAGGCCTGTACTGAAGACAGAAAACTGTTAGTACAGACCAGATGTTTCTTAGCAGGCTCGTTGTACCTCTTGGAAAACCTCGATGCAAGACAGTTTTTAGTGCTGGCGCATTTTGGAATTCTGCACATTCGTGGAGTGCAGTAATACTGTATAGAATTTTTCTTCCCAATCCACTGAGTTAATAGTTTTCTAAAAATGTCAGCATTACTACTTGTACCATTCTTCCTTAGTCATATTTGAAAAAATTGCAAAATGAGTTAGAATTTAATTTTTTTTTCAAGGATGTCTGTTAAATCTGTTGTGATTTTATATGTATTTTCCTTTTATATTGTTTAGAATTGATCTTTTTGGAAATAAGCTGAAGTTCTCACTTTATAAGAGTATATCAGACATCTCTAATTTGGTCATATCCTACTTATATAGGTTTCAAAATACTGCAGATTTTGAACAGTACATTATACAGAATTATGGGGGGGAGATTGTATATGGAAAGTTCTCTAATAGTTTGTTTGTGTGTGTATGTGCGCACATGCGTGTGAATACCAGAGAAATGACTAAAAGACCAACTGCTTTTAAAATCCTGTTATAGTTCAAGTGTCTTGCCTTGACCAATCTAATGAATTGATTAACTGGGCCTTTATAGTAAACTCAATAAAAATTAATCAGATATAAGTTAAATAAAAACTTTGAATTTATTGCCCAGCGTATCTGTTAACATTATATTTAACCGTCGTCTGTTTAAATTTTTGTTTTTGATTTACAAATAATTTCATTAGGGATTTAGATTTACAACAAATAATAGATCACTTACCATTTTTTAGGGTAATTGAAACTCATCTAAAGAAAGTTTAGTTGAACTTCTTTACAACATTAATATTAGATGAATGGAGGTCACTTGTCTAATTTAACTTGCCTAACATACCAGAATTTTATTTGAGGGACAAAATTGAAAATTTTTTATTAAGTGAATTTAATATCTTTTCAGAGTTTAAAGAGATTCTAAGAGTAATTTAGCAAAAGTAGGATCATGATGTAGAAAAAAGGTCATACAGCAACAGTTATAACATACTGCAACCTCCATATAGGAATAAAAGTGCTAGTGGAAGTAAAGGGATTTATGGAAAAGTTTGGAGATGATTCAACATTGGGTCCCCCAAACAAACACTTAGCACAACTGTATATTTTGTCATTGAATATTTGCTGAATGTATGTCTGGTAATGATCATGATGTGACAGCCTCCAGGTGGAACATGGTGACAGGAAGTTAGCCTGCAGAAAATTGATTACAATGGCTTATCCTTTTCATTAAGACTGCAGACTGTTAACCTAATTTCATACAATTTAACCTGGGGATTTACAGATTTTTATTTTTCGGGTGTAATAACATGTTGCTATCTTCAACTAGGGCTAAAACCTTGTTAACTTGATTTGTACCAGCTCAAACTTTCTACCTTTTGCAAGTTGAACACGCTGCTGAGTGTGTCCAGGGTCTTTCTTCAGCTGATGGACATTCCACTAATGACAGTTAATCTTTTGGTATTTAGACCTTTCAACTTGGAGCCTTGGAAGGTCAAGTCAATCGTGAAGAAACTGAAGATTTGATTAAATTTTTCCATGTTTGCCCTTGGTGAATAAATTGTCTTTTAGAGAATAACTTTAAGTCGCTTACACTCTGATAAAACTCAGCTATTTTGTTGATAATTCATCTCAATATTGTTTTTCTTTGGCCATATTTAAATATAGGACTTAATGGAGTTTTAGTGAAAATGGAAAGAATGAGTATGAAAAGACTAATTTAAGGAAAAAAGGAAAGTTTAAATGAAGCTATTTCTAATATACAATAGTTTTATTCCTAACATTTCAGAATTTTAATGGCAAATTTGTGTGGCTCTATAATTTATAAATGTCTATGTACTTATTAATTAGAAGACCATAGAACATGACAGCAAGTTTGCTAATGTTATTGGGGTTTTTACCACAGCTACTATTGTCGGAGAAATTATTTGTTAGATTAATAATAAAAAAAAAGTTGGCAAAACATGGCTTTATACCTCAATATCAAGATGTGCAAGACAAATATGTTTTCAAAACATATATGTGATATTTACTTATGGCACTAACATCAACATCAGCAGTTGATCAGCCTTTACAAGTATTAAAACAAAACAGGATCCTAATGGTAATTCTTATTTTGAATGTTTTTGATTGGGACTTTGTTGGCATTTTATCATTGTCATAATTTTAAATTTAGATTTAAAAATAGCCTACAGAATTTTAAAGCATGATTTGATACTTAATTTTAAAGCTTTTAAAAAATCTTATGAGAGAAATCTGAGGGATTGCGAAGTTTGGGGCTTCTCAAACATTGTGAAAATAAACTTTTATTAAGCTCATGTGAAAGGAACCCCTCCGTTTTATAATTAAATCTATGCTAGAGCACTTTATATGTTAACGTATTTGGAAAACTTTATGTTGTAAAAATTTGTGTCCTCAAATAATGTTTACTTTATAATGACTTCTTTTTTTGTTTGTTTTGGTTTTGTTAATCCTCACCTGAGGGTATTTTTTCCATTGATTTTTTTAGGAAGAGTGGAAGAGAGGGGGAAAGAGAGAGAGAAACATCAACCCTAACCCTAACCCTAACCGATGTGAGAGAAATACCTTGATTGGTTGCCTCCTGCATGAGCCCAATCAGGGCTCAGGCTGGGGAGGGGCCTGCAACCAAGGTACGAGCCCTTGATCTGAATCAAACCCAGGACCCATTGGTCCGCAGGCTGACTATCCACTGTGCAAAACTGGCTAGTCCAGTGGTCGGCAAACTGTGGCTCGCCAGCCACATGTGGCTCATGAGCCGAGGTTTGCGGCTCTTTTGACTAATGAGTTTGCCGACCACTGGACTAGACTAAATGTTACCGTGTAGAGCCGCGGTTTGCTGACCACTGGAGCTAGGGCTGTAATGTCTTCTTAAATCAACCCATGCTAACCCAAAGTCTGGCACTCAACTCCCACTACTCTTGGATCTTAAAACTACTTCCTCCGCAGTCCACTGTGCTTCAGTGTTGCTGAGCTGTCATCAGCTCTGGTGGCTTCTGTGCTGGCGGTGGAACAAAAATGAGCCATTTCTCATCTTTACCTCCAACATCCACAATTTCTGAGAAAGTCATACTATCATCTCTAAATATGGAGAGAAATAAAATAAGGGTGTTTTCCTCTTAACTGGTATAGACAATTTAATAGTTCTAGAAGAGAGAACAATGTTCAGATATTTTTTAAAATTTCAGCCAAGGTTTTTTTTTTTCTTTACAGTCCCTGGCTCCTTTTCTCTTGGCTGCAGAGAAGCAAATAGAAATAGATCTAGCTCTGAAAAGGACCCCGAAGAAAAATATTAACTGGTCTCACCTACTGTGGGATGAATCTTATGTCATCCACTCTCAATCAAGACTCAATAGAATCTCTTCTGTTGCCTAAGTTAAGCAGGAACAAGATAAAAGAAAACCATGTGGTAACTGTAAGCATACTCCAGCAAGCAGTGGTTTTTAAAATTGAGTGTGCCTAAAAATCATTGGTACAAATCCCTGGATCCCATCCTTAGAGGTGTTGATTCAGTTGGTCTGAACTGGGACCCGATAATTTGCATTTCAACCAAGCTTCCTGATAGTGTGGATGCTCTCAGTCTGTGGTCCACACCGAGGAGCACTATACCTCAGAGAACACCAGACTTAGGACTCACCAGGAAGAAAATGTAGTTAGTTCATGGGACAGAAGGAAATTTTTTCTTTTATCTTTATAGAAAAACAAAAATTCAATAAAATTGGAACTCAAAAGAAAAAGTGAGATGAGAGGAAGAGTGTTTCTTTTTTAATGTATTTTAAAAATTTTCAATTACACTTGACATTTTATATTATTTGATTTCAGGTAAGATGTTTTTATTTTTTATTGAATTTATTGGAGTGATACTGGTTAATACAACCACATAGGTTTCAGGTGTATAATTCTATAATATATCATCTGTATATTGAATTGTGTGTGCACCACCCCAAGCCAAGTCTTCTCTCATCACAGATTATGTTTCTAAGGAAACAAGTTGAGGACTTCATTGTTCCAATTAATTTATGTGATATGTTTTTTTACCTTTGGTTAGTATTTTGTATATATTTTTGGATGGATGTTTTAATTAAAATATATTTTACTGATTTTTTACAGAGAGGAAGGGGGAGAGATACAGAGCCAGAAACACCGATGAGAGAGAAACATCGACCAGCTGCCTCCTGTGCCCGCAACCAATGTACATGTCCCCGACCAGAATTGAACCTGGGACCCTTCAGTCCACAGGCCAATGTTCTATCCACTGAGCCAAACCCGTTTCGGCTGGATGGATGTTTTAAAAGGAAATGTTAAATTTTTTAGTAAAATAACTGGTGTGAATTGCTAGATTTTCTAGAGCCGTGGTCAGCAAACTGCAGCTAGAGAGCCATATGCGGCTCTTTGGCCTCTTAAGTGTGGCTCTTCCACAAAATACCATGGCCTGGGTGAGTCTATTTTGAAGAACTGGCATTAGAAGTTTAAGTTTTAAAAATTTGGCTCTCAAAAGAAATTTCAATCATTTTTCAATTTGGCTCTGTTGACTAATGAGTTTGCCAACCACTGTTCTAGAGTAAAGGAGAAAACATGTTTGCATTATGCTTATATTTTATAATGATAACTGATCTTTATATTCACATAAAACAAATCTTTAAATTTTTAATAGTTTTAAATAGATAAATTGCAAACTTATTTTATTGTAGTAATCATGATAGAGCTCTGAATTATCAGGGAAAGCCAGTCTGAGCTTAATTACTAACCCCCTCCCACATACAAAGGATTTATTGATTCATGTCACTGAAAAATCCAATGTAGAGTTGGCATCAGGGATTAAAATGTGATTATCAGAACTCTTCATCTAAGTGGGGCTAGGAGGGATGGGGAAGAAATAAGAGCTTGGATAAACAGAAATGTACTCTCATGTAAATTGGGTCACATTCCTTTGGATTGTATTTCTCACTTGATATCAATTCAAATAATTTTATCATTAACTCTTTACTCCACTCAATCTCCTTCTTAATCATAATTGATGTAGACAAGTTTATTTATGGCTTTGTGTTTATAAGCTGCTCATACCAAGTTCTTTGCTATTTGGGAATTATTGAAATGGGTAGAGCTAGCATTGGGTTGCTTGACTTGGTTAATAACAGTATTGGAATCTGGCCAGCAGGTTGCTACCAACACTCCCTTGAGCCACTGGCTATACTCATTTAGTTTGTGTACTAGCAACTTAAGAGAAAAAAAAAAGAAACAAAGCTACTCCTTTGGTTATGGTTGCTATGGGCAGGTCTGTTTGCAGAGAAATATGCTGATGACATTTCCCCCCTAAATATTAAATGTGTGTGTGTGTGTGTGTGTATATATATATGTATATGTATATACATATATATATGAAAATGCTGCTAGATTTCATCTTTTTTTTCCAAATGGTTCACATTTTTAAAAATTTTTATTGATTTCAGAGAAGGCAAAAGAAGAAAAAAATCATTGGTCAGTTGTCTCCTACACCCCCCACCCTGGGGATCAAGCCCACAACCTGGACATGCCCTGACCCAGAATTGAACCGTGACCTCCTGGTTCATTGGTTGATGCTCAATCGCTGAACCATGCCAGC